ATAGTGACAGATGGCGAGGAGGTCAAGTTCAGTGGGAGAGCTTAGAAGTTGATGCTGCGGTAGGCATTTGAGTGCCTTGCTTTAGGCCAACATCTGTTATCTCAGACTCTGACAATTCATATAGCAACTTTGAAGCCTAGCTCCAATGCTTCAGTGCAGACATTGAAGCAGCAAGGAACTAAGCCATTGTCCCGTCAGATTAACAGCATGAACATTAAATCCACTAAAGCAGCAAGGAATGTAATGCTTAATTGTACACATTGTGACAAAATCTGAACACAATGAAACACGTGAGTGCATATTTTGAACAGAAACTGAGATCCTGAATAAAATTCAGTGAATAACCTGAATGAAAACTAAATGCATAACTTGACATGAATTTGATTGTGCACTAGTAAGGTCGCTCAAAATCGATAACATGGAACCAACTTTATGAATGCATAGTATAAACTACTGTTTCTTTTTCTTGGGAGAGTTTTTCTTCTTGGGTGCTGCACTTCTCTTCCTCAATGTGGCCCTGCCTTGTTTGGTTGATGTGGTTAGTGGTGGTTGAACCCCTTCTCTCCTATTAGTAGCAATGAAAGCAGACTCTGGCACTGCTCCTGGATGCACCCTTTCTTGATGGTTGCTAGCAGCCTGTAAAAGATTATGTACTAATTTTATGATGGTTGTTATTAGCTGACAAAATGCTAGCTTAATGAAGGATTCCTTTTTCTTTGAGAACTTAATGAAGGATTGTCACCTCCTTAATAAAAGCTTCCACCACAGATGAACTCAGATAGTTAGAATTTTGCTGGGGTATGCTGAGCAGGTGCATTTCCTGAAACAAATATATGTTCTGTTTAACATTCCTTTTAGTGCAGCTAAACATATACACAAGCAAAATGAGCATCAATAGTACCTGAGTGATGACAGGTTCCTGAAACAAATATACAATGAGTTTAAAATTCATAGTTAGTGGAGATAAACAAATACACAAGCAAAATAAGTATAAATATTACCCGAGTGATGACAAGCTCTTCTGAATCAACAATTGATGAAGTCGCCATTTGCTGCATAGGTTGCTTCTGAAGTTTTAAGTCAGCCTTCCTCTGTTTACAACTAGTTTTGTTGTGACCACCATTTTTGCAGTAGCTACAATGCATCTCTACTCCATGCTTTGAAATTTTAGTCCCATCCTCTAGTTCTTGGGGCTGTTTTCTCCTAGTTTTCTTTGGCCTCCCCACTTTCTTCTCATATACTGGTGGCTTCACCTCTATACCCTGCATCTTCTCCCAGTGGATACTATCTCTTAGTGGCATTATGTTGTAGCTATAAGCTTGTTCATAGCACCTGGTTGAGTAGCAAAATGACACTACATCCTCCGGCTTGATCCTTTCATGTCTTAGACAGGAAATGGCATGGTTACAAGGAATCCCAGTGAGCTGCCACCTCCTACAATCACATCTCTTTATATTAAGTTCAACAATGTATTGAGATCCTCTGTCGCTAACCTGAAATGCTCCCATCCCAGCAGGCAAAGCATAGCATGTATTAGCCATCTCTGTATTTTTCTCGACCTTCCGTTTTATTTTTGGGCAGATGCCACATGGCCAATTCCTTTCTAGTTCTTTTTGCTTGGTGTACAACCTGTTCATGATCTGATTTCTAATCCTCTCAAGCATAGACAAAATAGGCATCTCCCTGGCATCAAGAATGTACTTGTTAAACACTTCTGAGTTATTGTTAAGAAGGATATCACACTTCGGAAAGTCACTGAAAAAGGCTCGACACCATTGGTTTGGAGGAATTTCTTCAAGGTACTTATAAGCTTCACTACTTAATGCCTTCATCTTTTCCATATTGGCATTCCACTCGGGCACAGTGCTAGATCTTGCAATAGCCCAAAGTTGGTTCTTTAGTGTCTCCCCTTTATGTAACACTTGAAAATTTTGATATAGATGCCTCACACAGAATCTTTGTTCAGCATCAGAAAACTCCCTTCTCACAGCTAGAACAAGCCCCTGGAAACGAATTATAAAGAATTATAGTTAGGAACTAAAATGTGAGTTAAGTATATTATGAAAAATCAGACGAAGTCATACCTTCTGCCTATCAGTTATCACTGTCCATGCAGATGTATTCTCAATGCCAAGGTCTTTTTTTAGAGTGTCAAGAAACCAACTCCAGCTTTTCAAGCTCTCAACTTCAACTACTGCAATTGCAATGGAAAAAATGCAGTCATTTGGGTCCATACCAACAGCAGTTAGGATATGGCCACCAAATTTTGTTTTAATATGGCATCCATCAAGACAAATGATAGGTCTACACCTAGACATAAACCCTCTCTTGCAAGCATCGAATGACATATACAAAGTATGGAAGCAACCAAAATGTATGTTCAGGTAGAATGAGCTCCCTGGGTTAGAGGTTCTCAATTCTTGTCCATAGTCCCATAATTGGTTGTACTGAGATATTTCATCTCCATATATGGCCCTCATAGCCATCCTTCTAGCTCTACCTAGCTTGTGCCTAGATGGTGTTAAGTGGAGTTCCTTCTGAATTTTCTTAGCAAAGCTCATCAGTGTCATTTTGTCATTATCTCTAAATTCCTCAATGTACCTTTTTGCAAGATACTTAGCTGTGACGGCCTTGATCTCCCACTGTTTAGAGCAGGTGTGCTTCTCTATATATTCCCTTACCACTAAGCATTTGACTCTATTATCCATAGATGCAGACAACATCCATGGACAACCTTCAGCACACTTAGCTTCAATTCTTGTTTTGGTATTCCGTGTCTTCTTAATAGCAACTTGGTTCTTTATAGTATATTGATCTATTGCTTTCCTAAGCTCTACAGCATCTGCAAACATCATGCTAACCTTGAACTCAGGTGTCTCCATGTCTACATCAGCCCTAAAACTCTTAAAACTGAACTTGATTTCTTCTTCTTCTTCTTCTTCAGAAATATTTGGCATCATCAACCTTTCATCTTCAGATGAACCATAGTCTGAACCCTCCTCTTTATTATGCGCTAACTCAATTTGCCCTTCAACACAATTATCAAACAAGTCATCATCCCCATGATCAATCTCATAATCACTATCAACAAAATCTGGATCTTCAGTTCTTGACTCCTCTTCATCATCAATTTTAGCGTCGGTAGCACATTTATCTACAATCAACTCCCCACCATCATTCTTAGCCCTAATTATTTTACTTGGTTTCACAGCAGTACGCAAAGGATCTGAACCAATAATTGCCACATCATCTAAGTCAATAGCGTCGACTATGTCTTGATGATCTGCATACAAAACAAATGATCGGACCCTAGGTACAAGAGCGACGATACTGTTAGTGTCTGCATCACACTTAACCCTCCTCAACCCATCACTTAATTGTTTGCCAGGAAGCAACCAGTAAATTTTGGTGTTATCAGATTTCTCATATCCTAGTTCTTCAATGAAATCATCAACCCACAACAGTGACCAAGAATCTGACTCACAATGGTCAAACCAGCTTACTCTACCATCAACATAAGCCCGGTTTACACCATTTCCCATAAAAAAAGCCTCCGTGGTGCATCTCAATGCTGAATTCTTCATCTTCGGAATCTACATATATTGTGCACAGATAATTATTCATCTTCAGAACAGTTTACTTTAGGTTCAGATGTTTAAGGGTATATCCAGGAAGAAAGCATAGTTAACAACAGAAGCTAGCAGCACATTAATGATCAAATTGCTCTCCAAAAATACTAATTTCCCATGATCACTTCTATACCATAAATGTCAACAAAAATTACAGCTTTTGTGTACCATGAACTAGCTCCTGGCATAAATTAAAACAACTGATAGTCCTTCTCGTTTGCAATACCTAATAAATCGACAATAAGAGGAAGAAATCTCCACAAAAATTGGAATTGAGAAAGACAATCTCATTTTTGATATGATAAACTAAAGTACTCACTGTATACAGGAGATCGTGCACCTTTACTTCGCAGCCCTGGCACCATGTTGCCTCAGCGCCGGCGGCAACGTCCTGCCACCGCTGCCCTAAACGTGGCTGGCGTGTTGTCTCCCAGCAAAGCCCTACCGCCTGGATCCAATTCGCGGCCTTCCACCTTGATCCATATATCAATCTCCTGATTTATCTCCTTTTGTTGTTAACTCAATTGGTGGTAGGCTATCATGAAACTGATCTCTAGCATGGGCATCATCGTGGGCTACAACACAAAAGAAGATTCGGAGGAATCGAAAGATGTATGAGGGGTTATTTGCAAATATGTGTAGCCAGCTCACGCTCCCATAACGTGTGTATGCGCTGATGTGGTATCCTAATCACAAGCCAACTCAATAAGATTAGTGATGAAGTCATGTCTTGGCCTTGGTTCGCATGCACTACGCAAGTTTGTGTACCGAAACGAGAGTTTTTCAAGTTTTTACACTAAATTGCACCCACCTTACAAGTTTGTGTACCGCGGGCGCAATTTACTCTTAAAAAAACTATATAAAGTAGGAACATTTTCCTTTTTGAACTAGGTTGCCTGTTTTACTTTTATTTCACCTTTTTATTTGCTTTTTGTTTTGCTTGCCGCTGCATTTCAAGCTTTTGGATGGTCTTGTACGAAAAAATAATTAGGCACACGTGTCAACATTTTTTTTAAGTACACTGAACTATTCAAGTCAGAGGCGAATGGACGACAACGATTCAAACGAGCAATATGGCGGAAGTAATAAGGTAACATTTGAAACAAATTATTCATAGAATTATTATTTTGGTAGTGTTTGAAATAATATTTATATGATCATGCTTGTTAAGCCGTAACCAGTTTTGAATTTATAATTTAAATTATGTTTTCTGTTTTTAATATCTAGCTCTAGCTTTTGAATCGCTAAGAATAAATTTGTAAAGGTCATATCTTAAATTTTTTTATCGCGGAGGTCTTTTTTTAGCTTATAAGCCAGAAAATTTTCCTTTCAGACGCTTTGTTCCAAACTAATTACTAAATCGTTCAATGATGTTTCAAAATATAAAATGAATTCATGGATGGAGCAACTAAATTTGCATCCCCTATCTAGCTTGCACGATCTCGAACATAACCATCGATCAATCTGATCACACCGTCGGTGGCGACGGCGTCGCGGCGACGGCCGGCCGTTCCAGGACGCCGGCGTGGGAGAGCAGCGCCCACAGCTGCGTCATGAACTCGCCGCCGGCGCCGAGCACCTCGGCGTGGATGTCCACGTTGTCCGACGGCGCGAGGAACAGGATGAACTCCGCCCAGAACTCGGCCAGCACCTGCCACCGCCGCGCCTCGTCCACGGCCGCCCTCAGCTGCCCGCCGAGCAGCGCCGCCTTCTCGATGACGGTGGCGCTGCCCGCCCTCTCGCGCACGGCGCCGCGCCGCTCCTCGTCCTCGATCTCCTGCAGCCTCTGGAGCACGGCGCTCTCCGTCCTGCAGCCGCCCAGGTGGTCCCTCGCCTGCTGCACCGCCGTGTCGAACATCTGCTCCGCGTTGTAGCTCGGGTCCGGCAGCATCTCCGGCACGAACGCGACCAGGTAGGCGCAGTAGTTCGACAGCTTCGTCGCCACGACCCTGTTCACGTCGCCGCCGTTGTCGCGGCGGCGGCTCCGGCCATGGCCGCCGCCGCTCGTCCAGTCTAAGCGGGTGGTGACGACGTGCCACACCAGGATCTGGTCGGTGAGCTTGGGGAACGCGCACGCCCACTCCAGCTGCGGCGTCAGGCCGTGCCTCCGCAGCGTGGAGACGCCATTGGTGAGGTGGCCGTAGCTCGCCTTGAGCGACACGAGCACCGCTCGCCGGACCTCCTGCGGCAGGCGCTTCCTCCGGCCGCGCTTCTGCCCCTGCCGCCGCGGCTCCACCAGGTAGAGCGTCAGCCACGACAGGATGTTCCATGGCCGGTGGCCGAACCGCTTGAGGAGCACGTACTGGCCGACCTTGTCGTCCCAGTACCTCGTCGCCGGCGGCGTGATGCTCTCCTTCCACCAGAGGTGGCCGTGCCGCCTGTTCGTCCACGGCTGGTCGTCGCGCACGCAGCGGTACACCGTCTTGACGTACCTCCAGTTGCTGGAGAAGCCGGCCACCGCCTGGCAGAGCTCGAGGCCGGCGGTGATCACGACGATCAGCACCGTGACGGAGCGGTCGAGGCCGCGCACGCCGATGCGGAGGCGGTGGTAGCCCGGGCCGAGCGTGCCGAAGAACGCCGTCCACATGGTGATCCCGGCCACGGCGGCGGCGATGCAGACGTAGGTCCTGGCGCCGACGAGCACGACGTTGCGGGTGTAGAACTCGTCGTAGAGGAACGCGAGCTCCGCCTCGACGACGCGGAACGCGGCGTCGGGCCCCGTGACGGCCGGCCGGATGAGGCCGCCGCAGACGAGGTCCCGCGCCCTCGGCGAGCCGGCCTCCGCCGGGACGAAGCCGTAGAACCGCCGCTTCAGCAGCTTGAACAGCGCGAACGCGAGGCAGAAGTCCCTCGCCATGTCCTTCTCCACGCCGCTGTACCCGGGCTCGTCGTCGATCCACCGGTACACGCGGTCGATGGTGACCACCGACTTGCCGTCGCTCTGCCTCACCATGTCGTCGCGGGTCGCCGGCACCATGGTGTCCTCGCCGTGGAAGATGTACCTGTAGCCCTTCATCGTCGTCGGGTCCGGCGGCTCGCCGTCGCCGACACCGGCGAGCGACTCCTCGACGTCCATGTAGTCGGCGATCAGCTTGACGGACTGGTCGGGGATGCTGGCCTTGATCATCTCGACGATCTTGGCCACCGTCTTGAGGACGTTGAGGCACCAGAACGCCCAGATCGCGGCCCGGTAGCTGGCGTTCCGGCCGGTGGCGTTGGCGATGAGCCAGAGCACGAGCGCGGTCTGGAGGACGTGCTGCAGCAGCAGCTTCTTCCGCTGGCTGAACTCGCGGCGGCTGTGCACCGGCGCCGCGTACGCGCTCGCCTGGATCAGCAGCAGCGCCGCCGCCCACAGCACGAACGTCTCGCCGCGGAACGGCCCGTCCTGGATCAGCCCCACGGCGTAGGACACCACCACGTAGGACAGCGAGTAGGCCATCCACATCACGCCGCGGAGGAGCTTGTCGCTGCTCCGGCGGCGGGTGGCGCCGTACAGCACCAGCGCCGCCAGGACGACGGCGCTGGCGAGGACGACCACCTCCAGCCGCAGCAGCCGCCCTTCCACCGTGCTCAGCCTCTCCACGAACCCGCGCGCCGGCGCCATTGCCGGCCAAGAAGCTCAAGCTCTCCCCTAGCTTTCACTGATCTTGATTACTCCATTTCTTATCGAATTTGATCCATGCGAGAAGGTGATGAGATAGGGATTGAAGCAAGAACAAAAATGGGATGTGGAGTAGGATGCAAGATAGCTGCTGCTTGGCGGTGGCACTCCATGGAAGACAAGAATCTCTCATGGTTGCACAAAACTACTAGTACAGTACTTGGTAGAACTAAAACCTTTCTTCTGTCTGTGAGTTTGGCAGATATCAATCAGATCAGCTTATCTTTACGCCTGGATCAGTGAGGAGCAGCTTCAAGACTGCCGACCAAATGACCAGTGAAACGGCACCCAGTGAAGAAAAGGATATGCCCCATACTACATACCGTATGATGCATGGGATGGAGGTGACCAGGCAAAGAAGCAAGACTGCAAATAGTAAATTTTAACCAGAGAAGATTGGTTTCAAAATCAACACAAATAATCAATTGTGCAAATTACAGTCACGATCTTATAGGGTTGGACCACCCAGTAATGGAGTACTGGTTTAGTGGCTTGAGATGGTTGAGGATGACATGAGCTACTCTTGTTACCGAAACAATTTAAATGAGACTCCAAATGAATTACTCTTTTCATTTTTTTTCACAAGTTAACAAGGTTTGCCACATTACTACAATGGTGATGTGCAACTTTCTTCACTAATCATGATGAAAGCTAAACAACTCTCAAGGATCCAACATTCTGATATCTCACCTGAAAGAAAACCATCATATGCAAAACACAGGTTATATTATTTTGTTGGAATATTCAAAGCACAAACTTGGATCAAGCAAGGCATTATCCATGAACTAGACAACGGTAAGAACAATGCTTGATACTAGAAGCATATGAAAACCACCACAGACAGAGGCACTAATCCTTTCAGAGCCTGAAGGCCCGTTTTATTTAGGATATCAGTACTAATCCACTATAACACTACATGGCCATATGTAGCTCAAGCTTGCTCGCCAGTTCATCCTTCATAGCACCGACAACCCTGTCTTTAACATCTCCCTCCTTCATAAACAGGAATGTTGGCATAGCCTCAACACTGAATTGCTCAGCAATAGGCTGTTTGTTACATAAATCTTCATTAGGATAAAGCCAGATAAGGGGAAAACCAACACAGCAACCGTACTACTGTACTACATAAAAATATAAAATTTGGGGAACAGCAATACCTTCAGTTCATCGACGTCAACCTTCAGAAAAACAGCATTTGTGTGCTTCTTTGCTAGATCGGCAAAAACTGGAGCAATGATGCGGCATGGTCCGCACCATGATGCAGTGAAGTCAATCACAACCTGTTATGACGAAAACCAGGTTAACACACTTTTGTGGTATTGCTAATTCAACATTTCAACAATTCAAATGACTGCAATCAGAACTAAAATGTTATCGAAAAACATATATAGTTATATACATGAAGTGACTGTAATAGTTCCCAACCTTTGGACTCTATTACCAACCTTAGGACAGCAAGTCTACACAAAATTGCAAACTTCACTTATCAAACATCTGCATCTCTGAAGCAACATGATACGGCTCTCATAAAGTAAGCCATGATTTCAGGCTCTAGTGTGGTTAAGTTAATCATGCAAATTTGACCTCAGCACTCTCCTAAAGTATGCCATGATTTTAGGCTCTAGTGTGGTTAAGTTAATCATGCAAATTTGACCTCAGCACTCTCCTAAAGTATGCCATGATTTTAGGCTCTAGTGTGGTTAAGTTAATCATGCAAATTTGACCTCCTGCAGGAACAATTGGAGCAACACTGCACTACAGATAAGGGTCGATCCCAAATTGTGATAATTTATTTCTTATAATCGAAGTAAACACCGACCTGAAATTCTGAAATAAGCTAAGTATTTTGTAATAGTCGTGTCCTCTACCGTCTACAGAATCAGCGGGCATAAGGAAAATAAACATCATTACACACCTCAACGAAGGACTAATGAGTTACCCACGATTTCTCATTGCTGCTACCATCATCTACTTTCCACCAATCCAACTACGAGCATATGAACAACTTGTTCGTTTTCCTCTCACAATAACTATGATTCTTCTTTTTTTTTGTTTTTTTTAAAAACATGGTTAGTTTAAAGGAGAAGTAACTGTTTATGCTGCAATTATCCTCTAACGGGTGAGAGAACAGTAGATCCGTATCCCCACCGGAAGGGGAGGAGAGAAACCCTAATCCTAAAAAAAAACCAGACGCGGAAAACCCAACTTTGATTACGCAAAATTTTCTCCTCAGGTACCCCAATCACAAAATTGGATATGAGCATAATCTCAATTAAGTAAACCCTAGGCCAGCTACGCACACCATTGATCACAAAACTCAAAAAACTTAGCAAAAAAAGAAAAAAGGACAGGAAAGAACAAAGAGGAGGAGAGCGACGGTTGAATTACCAGCTTCTTGGCGCTGTTGGCCTCCTCGATCTGGATGGTCCACTCGTCGAGGCTGTGGATCGCGATCACCGTTCCCTCCGCCTGCGCCGCCGCTGAGGCCGCCGCCATCTCTAGCTCTCTCTCTCTCTCTTCTCTCTCTCCTCGGCGAGCAGAGCAGAGCGCCGCTTATCTTTCACGCGAGGCAGGACACACACTTGCTCTGCGGTGTTCTGACTATGTGCTCCCCTTGGCCATGGCTCGCCTTCCCAAAGATATTGTCGTTGGGAGAGGAATCGAAACTTTATCCTAGCTGGTGACGTGACGAATGGTCGAATATGCCCCTCTATTCTGTGCGAAATTACCGGCCCCCAATTGGCCAAACGGTATATTTACAAATGAAAAATAATATGTGAATAAAACTTTTATATACGTGTTCTTAGCAATCTAAAAGCAAAGACTGAAAAATAAATTTTGATGAAAAAACTCTAAAATCAATTTCAAATTTAAGCCTGAAAATTTAAATTTTGAATAATAAACATAAGCATAAACGAAAAAATGCGGCCGTACAATTTAGACCCTTGTTGTAATGAGCGGTGTCCCATATCTCTGTCCTTGGCCGTCCGATCTGGAACCGATCTAGAACGAACGGTCGGATCGGATGGGCATTTTTTCGGTGCTTGTACCAAGGGAAGGGACAACCTTCCTAAACATGGGCGGCTGCGATATGTGATAATGGGTATGTTTGGGGAGTTTTTGATTCGATTAGCTACAGCTTATTCTAGAATTAAAAGTACCATAAACATTTTAGCTTTTTTGATGGATTAAAACGAAGCTAAAGCTTTCCTAAGAAGACTCTCTAGTTAGCTCCTAAGCAGCGTGTCAACTTCATTTCCACTTCAATAAAAAAGAAAACATTTTCATTTCCACTTGTTTGATGTTGCCTCATTTTCAGTTTTGCACAGCACTTGATTTCAAAGCATTTCATGTGCATTACTGCATTATACTTTCCTGCTGAATTCAACATTGGATGCCCGTCCTGAAGTGGCCGGGAGGTCTCAAATCATGAACATGAGATCTGCAGAGATGCAGACATGCAGTGCAGCTAATCTGGTGACCACAACAAATTCGGAGAAAGTGGACCACACAAATGACACAAGTCTTGAAAACAGGTCTCCAATTCTCCACGGCAAGCAAAAGAATCAGAAAATGTGAATTTCATTTGAATTTACTCATAAATCGTCATGCATTAAGTATATGCCTGCCTGCCTGAGTACAAGGAACGGACTCATCCGCAGGCTTAAACTGTTCCATATCCCAAAATGTTACAGCCTCCAAAGCTCAAATCGAAACCAGCCCATCTGTTATCTATATGACTATTGGCTAAACTACATGTAATTCAAGTATTCACTTTTTGTTTCAAAGGAATTCAAGTTTTCATCCATAGCTCAATCAGAAGAGGTACTTTGATAGCACGTACTTGGGAGCAGGCCTCCTGTCTCCCATCCAGTGCTGCATATGCACCCCAATGGCGTCCAGGTGTTGCCCGCTCCGGCCATGGAAGCCCACAACCTTCCCTTCCGTCTTCGCCGACGAGAAGTATGCCCCGAACTCCTCTCCGAATGGCCCGTACTTCCCTCGGTTGCTGATGAAGGTGATCGACCTCAGAACCCTGGGCCCTTCCTCCCTGTTGGTGTTGTAGTAGCCGTATACGCATGTCAGGACCTCGTGTGGGTAGTCCAGTTTAATCTGCAAGTGCATTTGGAGAGAGGTTATTGTTTGACATGCCACCGAAGAATGATGAACAGATCCTATATTGTTGTTGTATGTTTCATGAATTTTATTCCTTGACAACGGAACTTGATTGATAATAGCACTCAGTACTCACCCTATGGGTTATGTGGCCACTGGTTCCATGCCTTGCAGACCAGACGGATTGGTCACCCCTGTCGTACTCGATCTGTATCGAGCCGATAAAGGTGCCTCTCATCACATAGACTTGCTTCACACCAGTGTAGACACCATCATCCCATGGCCGGCCTCCTTCGCCACCCCATGGCCCTGGCCCCATTGGAACTGGTTCTTTCACCATGCTATAAGGAACCTGGAAAACGGTTACAAGTTAGCTCTGCAGCCACATACTTATGTTATGATTCAGACAAGAATTGTAGCTACCTCATTGTATGTTTCACTCCTTGATTGTGCAAGCATGTCGTAGCGCAAAGAGGGGTTCATCTCAATCGTTGATCTACTACTAACTCGCGGTGCAGCCAAGTTACCTTCCTGAACATGGACCCCGATGCCATCAATGTACCATCCCTCCCTACCATGGAATCCTACTATCCTCCCATCAGAAAAACTGGTGGAGAAATACGTGCCACACTCATCCCCATATGGTCCGTATCTCCGCTTGTTTGTGTGGAATGTGAGTGATCTGACCACTGTTGGACCCATGATCATTGTCGTGCCATAGTAGCCGGTTATATGAGTCAAGACCTCCGAGGGAAAATCAAATACTATCTGAAGAACAAAAGTTCCACTTCATCACAATCATGTATGCAGCATCACAATAAATTAAAAGAAATGCAGTACTGAAATCATATTTACCTTGTCTGGTGAAACAGCTCCACTGAATCCATGCTTGTTTCCCCACACTGCTTGGCCATTTCGATCATAAAGTACCTTTATAGAAGTAATTCCCACTGCACGAGTCAAATTGATCTGCCACACACCGGTGTACATGCCATCATCAAACATGGTGCCACCACTTCCACCCCAAGGACCATAGGTCTCGTGGCTACTCAGAGCTGCACCTCCTCTATCTCCGTAACCACTAGGAAAAGATACCATCTGCAGTGATGGACTAGTTTGTGGCACCTTATTCCAGCGGATTCCATCATTGTAATCTGGGGATGGATTTGTATACTGCTGATTAGGGTAATTGCTAGTATAAACAGCATAGCTGTCACCCCTATCTCTCACTGCAAGGACCATGTCATATCCTGAAGCACCCTCAGGAAAGCTATAACCATTTTTGTTATATGCACTTGTAATACTTCTACTCTGAGGCAAGACTGGAGAATTTGATCGATCTGAAACATTCACTTGCTTCAGATAAAAGCCTATTGAGTTGAGATACGACCCTGACCTTCCATGAAAACCAATAATTTTACCACTGCTTACTGGGAGTGAGAAAGGTGTCCCATCTTCAGTACCGAAAGGCCCGTATATGGAACGATTGCTTTGAAATGTCAATGATCTTATGATAACTGGAGTTCCACAGACTGACCCGTAATAGCCACTTACAGACACAAGGATTTCGTCAGGGAAATCTAGCTTCACCTGCAGATTATACATATAAAATCAATAATTTTGTTTTAGGGATGAAAACTAAATTATGCTTCTTCAAAGTAGAATGGATATCAAAGTAGGCCTTTGATATATAAACTTTTACCAACTTCATTAAAAACAAGTCAGCATGTCATCGATTTTATGCGCCAAAATAAACATGAGATTCATACATAAAGCTAAGGCCTAAAACTATCTTCCAACTTTACCAGAATTGTATATAGGTGTTTATACTTGTAGTGATTTTATGGTACTTGAGGAGGTACAACTGTTTCCTGGTATCTCAACACATAGGAGCCACCAAGAGCTACCAAAATTTACACTAAAAAATGTGGTAGCTCCTCAAGGAACGTAATAAATCTCTTATATTTATTATATAGATCTAAAGACATGCACAGTACCAATTAAATTTGTGCAAATTTCGGAGTGTTGCAATCTTGCTAAAAAAATTAAAAAAGCTGCAGCAGGGATAGTAAACTAGACCTTATCTGTTTCAGAACCTCCATCGGTGCTCCCATGTGTCTCTGACCAGACTGAACTTCCTTTCAGATCATATTCAATCCTTATGGAGTCAATAGCTGCACCATGGGTGATGATGACCTGGCGTACCGTTGAGTATACACCATCATCCCAAGGGTATCCTCCTGTGCCACCCCAAGGGCCAACCACTATGGGGCTCTTCCCGTCGCTGCTTTTGATACTCTATTAGACATGGACACCAAAGTTTCATTAGACCATGACATCTGAGTTTGAGTTCTAGAAACTACAGTTCATCAAGAAAATAATATTTCTGCACTTCATCGCTAGATAAACCAAAACACTGTCATGAAATTCACATAGCAGAGTTTTCAATTAAAAAAAGATAGCATCATAGCAATGATGTGTGGGTTCTGTTCTTGAACCGAAGAAACTCTAGGAATCTAGAGTTGTCCAATTGCAAACTTCGTAAACAAAAGTTCGACATGTCACTATGATCCCATGATTAAGCAACTGCCCGAGGCTTTGCAAGCTTGAAAATTACTCCAAGTCCTATTTGTCACAATAGTATTAGGCTAGCTCTATTCTGGACAATTCTATCATAGCATTTCTGCAGATAGTATGCATTCTTAGAATTTCACTTTTGCATTGTTGGCAACCGGCATACATCTGTTTATAAAATTTAACACACAACTAAGCACACAAGATCATGAGCAAACAAGAATGTACCATATCTCGCTGCCCAAATAGGCCCAGACACTTGAATTAAGAATTTAAGATTGGGCCACCTCCTTCTGCTATTACCAATCTGCTAATACAGGATGGGTTTATTAAGAAAACAAGAAGCACACACCTGCCAATTTATAGGATGACCAGAACAAACGACGCCCGGAAACCAGCCACTATCGCAAGCTGGCAGCCGCATAAACGGTTCAAGAGACCTGAAAGCAACCAGGGAACTCGATTCGCTGACCTACTGGATCCAATTCACAATTCACGCACATGAAAAGAAAAGAAGTCTTTTCCCAACCACTGATATTCTCCTTTTCCGGACCTCCCATGCCTGACTGACTTTGCATGATTCCCTGCATTAACGATGTAGAATTAAAGAAGCAATCGATATAGAATAAAACAAGAAACATATTTTACAATATCAATTCTACATCAGAAATGTTATTTTCCTCGTTTTTTTTCACGCGTGTCTCATTGTATGTCTGTGGATGGAATTGGTCCGGCGTGAAGAGAGATTAAGGGGCAAGGCCGTGGACAAGAAATGCAGAATCTTTAGCAGAAATACAATAACTTGCAGGATTCTTGATTCCTCTTATGAGATGTGGGCGGTGATCGATTGTCACTTCACTCGGTTCTTGATTTTACTAAGTGGCCGCACTAAGAACATAAAATAAATAAAAGAAAAATGGAACCAAAGAATAGATTTGTTTCCCGAATCCATAGCATCGCACCATGGCAAATTGGCAATGCCATCAAATTTACTCTTCCTCCCCCATTAGCAAATCGCAACCACACCTCTATGCCTTCTAGCCCGCAAACGCTAACCATGCGAAAACGAATCTGGTGAGTTTTTTTTTTTTTGTTCCTCACCTTTATGAACTGGAGGACATTTGGACATCGGCGCGGGCGTCGCCGCAGCGGAATCGCGCGCTCGAAAGCAAAGCGGCGGTCGACGGTGTGAACCGATCGGAGAGGCCGCCACGCCACCGGTGGCGTAAATCCGGCGCCATAGCCCATAGGTTTCCCCCTCTTGCGGCTGAGCGGCGGCGCCGACGACTCCATCCGCGGCGACGATTTTGGGGAGGATGGAAGGGGAAGAAGACGAGCCAGTCTACTTTACAGGAGGGTCATTTTTGTAAAAAAAGTTACTAGTAGGATCTAAGCAGAAGGGGGGCTACTTTGTAAAATGTAGGGCACCAGCCATTGTCCGTTGCGAATTGTGATCGGGTCAGTATGGGCTATGCTGTAATATTTAGGATCATACAGGGGGGCTACTATGTAAATATATGGGCTATTGTGCAAAAGTTAGAGTTGGTAGGATCCAAGTAGGGGCTATTTTGTAAAAGTTAGGGTCCCCGTCCCGTCGCCGCCGGTGAGCTCCGCCGACTGAACTCGGCGGAGACGAGCACCTCCACTACTCTGTCCTTCGACATCCGACGAAAACCAATCCCCTAATCGTCACCGGCCCTCATTTGTAATTTTACACTTAGGCGGTGTTAAGATGAAGTTTTTTACACAAAACGAGATGGTATTAACGTATGACTGATTGAGTTTTAATTATTACAAACTTGAAAAATAGATTAATATGATATTTTAGAGTAATTTTTATATAAAAAGTTTTTCGCACGAAACACACCTTTTAACAGTTTAAAAAAGCGTGCCACGAAAATCTTAATCTTTATCCAACTCTTGTTGGAGAAAAGAACGGAACCTTAATGTTTAACATGATGTTTTTCTTAGTGGTTACTGTAGATTCATGATAATAGAATGTGTCATATCTTTTTTCTTTTGAGCAAGACTCAAAACCCCCATTTCTTTTACTAGAAATGATCATAGGTTCAGCCTCAGCGGCAATCCAAACAAAAGAAAAAAGAAACAAAGGTCTGAACACAGCCTCCAAATCTTACAACACATTCAGCTACTCAAAAGGATAGGATTGTCATATCTCGTATTAGATTTATTTATTTTGAAATAAAGAATTAAGTATTAAATTTATTTATTTTGGAACGAAGAGATTAAAGACTATGAATTAGTTACATAATCTTGGTGAGACTGGTTGCGGAAGATCAGATGATATCTTAAGCAGGACTTTTGAATCCGGTTGCTGGACTGAACGCCCAATACAGCTGAACTTTGTACAGTATGAACTCGGGTTTATTCAGAAAGAGGAAAAAAAAACTTTTCCTCATTAATCACATTTGGGATTGCATTGGTAAGAGAATTCATACAACTCAATCTGATGGAAGATATTTTAATAGTTTAGATGTTTGGTTTAAGCTTAAATATATGCAGAAACGAACTAATAATTCAAGGGAGAAGTATCTGAGTTTTATTATATATCTATTAATATAGCGCAGCAGAAGTCTCTCCAACTGTTTTCAGTAAAAAAAAAAAGTATCCGAGTTTTAGATGCATGGACTCAGCACAATCTCTTTATTATCAATCTACCATACGTAGCAAGTGGTTCTCACTAGCACAAATTGAGTGAAATAATCCAGGCTAGTCTGACATGTACAGCAACAACATTACAGGGCAAATTATGATTTACCATTCACCAAAATACACAGTAAATCTGAATATCTCCGTGCAAGACGAGCATCAGGGCGGCAGGAAACTTGAAGAAAGCAGCAACCCAACCACTGACTACTGACTGAGCCTAGCATTGTCCATACATCAGTGTATCTGTCAAAGGGGATGGTCAGCAACGAGGTACTAAAAGAAAGATAAGGCGAGATCGCATTCGATGCTCATGTCAACTGTACTCACTCGAAGATAGTTGGCTCGAATTATAGGCTCACTGATCCAACAGTTCCAACAAACCACCCAAAGAAGGAACTTTGGAGAAAGGTTGTTTCCTACTCCCTCCCTCCATGACAGAGAAGTTGCCATTATTTGCCTGAAACAAGAAAGAACACTCAGTTCTCAGAATACACAAAGTTCATCTGATAACGTGAACAATAACTTGTTCATAAATCCTAAAGATCTACTCTACAGTCAGTAAAAAAAAACAAAAACTGGAATCTGATATGAATCAAAGTGAAATGGAAGAGAAGTACAGAAAACATAACCATGGAAGATTTTGAGGCAGCTCATATTGGATGCACAAAATCGTTTTCTACGTACCTTGAAGCATCGTTGGCTGGCCGTATCACAAACCGGGTAGTCATGAGGGCAGCAATAGCGATTATCCTTGCAGCAAACTGCGTTATCCAGTTCACAACAACTCCAGGAAAGGCATAGCCCCAGGACACGCCAGGAGCAGCAGCAGGTGGATCCTTCAGGGCAATAGGTAAGAAGGCTGCATTTGGTTGGACCTGGCCCTGGTGAAGGAGGAGGATTCGGGCTTGATTTCGTAGGGAATGACGGCATCTGGTTTATGCCACAGACACCATTGGAGTTACCAGTGTTTCGATGCATATACATATAGCCTTTCATACCCCAACTTTCACCCCAAGAATTTTTCACAATCCAGTAATCCTTGCCACCTTCAGAACCATATCCCACAATTAATATAGCATGATCAAGAGATGTAGGACATGGACCATCGAAGATACCCTGCATAACAAAATATTAAAAGGCAAGTACAAAAATGTTTAAAATTGGTAATACATACATCTGTTCATGAGAGGATAAACCAACAAATTATGCACTATTTACCTTGGAGTACAACTGAAATGCTCTAGCGCTACCGCATATTCCTACACTAACAGGTTGCTGAGCAACAGCCTGAAGTAACATATCTTCATTGTTGGCAGGCACATCTTTGTAGCCATCAATTGTTACCACTCGCCTTTTGAGCTGCATTTTAAGCAGACAAATTATTGTACTAGTATGGCAGGCAGAGGTTATCTCAACATTTGTTGAATGTACACATTTCAATTTTACCTTGTTCTTGTTACATGTTCCATCTGTTTCACGATATGGGTAATCCGCTTCCGTGTCAATTCCACCATTTTTAACCACAAACTTATAAGCATAATCCATGAGCCCACCACCACAACCACTATTGTAGGATCTATCACAGTCTATTAGTTCCTGTTCGGAAAGGCTGATCAGAGAACCTGTCTTGATCTTGTTTATTCCCTCCATGGCACCTGTAGCTGAGAAGCTCCAACAAGCACCTAAACAACAATCCAAACCACATTAACTGGAAGTACTGGCATGGTTTTACCACTGAAAATGAGGTAGAACCAGCAGTTAAAAGTGAAAAATGTATTTCAAGAATCATGTAGAAAGCATTAAACAAGAGGAAACCTGAGGGAATTAAACAAGAGGAAACATGACCTAGATACAACTATACAAGACCAAATGAGTGACTTTTAGGAACAAAATCCTTGTTTCTCCCAAGAATCATCCCTATTGCCTGAGGAGTTTCTTATGAGGCACATAGCCATATGTACCTTTCGAATTTTACCAGAGCACCAGTTTAAGATAATTCCCTAACGTTGAACACTGTAGTACTGGAAGAACAATAATTAATATCAGGATTCTTATCTGTTTTACAAAAAAAAAAGAATCAATATAACTATCAAAGACACAAGGCTCAACTAAAACGATATATTTAAACACTTGCACAGCTGTTTTGGCAGTAGAAGCTTACACAGATTCCCACATAATCTGAAGAATGCCTTAAACTGGCTCTAAACAGTAAATTCATTTGTAAGGTCGTTCAGAAGCAATGGAACTTTAATTTAACATCTCATTAGTGCACAATGAAGAATATCATTTGGAAGTTGGAACTGGAGGCACAACTCTCTCTCTCTGTGTGTGTGTGTGTGTGTGTGTGTGTGTGTGTGTGTGTGTGTTTCTACTGTACGTACACCAGGGATAGTTGCTTCATTCTAAGGATAGCAAATCTTATGGTTATGGACTTCGATCTGTTCTTGAAAAGACTCAACTGACTGGAAGATGATACTGCTTTTGGAAATTTAAGTCAGTGAAATTACAAACAGTGTCCTCAAAGAAAACATCATAAGTCACTTAGGTTTCATCAAGATATATCACCAAAGTAATAAGAGAAAAGGATTCTAAGATCTTTTCTAGCAGGCATCATGATGATAAATAAACATACAGGTGGGGCAGAGTACAAAAATGAATGGATCATTGAAATCTACCAGCAATATCCCCAAATTGAGTTCTGAACGCCCAAATTAGCCTTTTTTGGTCAGCCTCTTCTCCTTTATAATCTTAAGCTCCTAAGATTCTTGGAATCCTCTGTATCTACTGGATAATGCCTTGGTCACATGTTCCTTTCTTTCTTTTGCTTTGCTTTTTAAATTAACCTCTGGATATATAGCTACTAAAATCGATTGCCAATCTAGTAAAGATCAAAGTCTTTCGATCCAGTAAAGGTAAGAACAGATCGAGAAGATTGCGCTCTCACCGCAGCTGCCTTGGTCCTTGACCTTGGTGACGGCGCCGCTCTGCCTCCAGTCCACCGCATCGGGCACGGCCCCGACGCCACCGTCGACGCCCAGGTACGGCGCGCCGCCGTCCCGGCCAGGGCCGCCGGCGGCGGCGAGGCGGCCGAGGCGCGCGGCGCGGAACTCGTCGTGCGTGAGGTCCGCGAAGGCGTTGAGCGCCAGGGCGTACGACGCGGGCGCGCCGTTGTGCGCCGCCACGAACGCCGCGTTGTCCGCGAACGCCGCGAGCCGCGCCGCGCGCTCCCCAGGCGTCGCGTACGACCTCCCGTGCTCCGCGCACCACGCCTCGAACTGCGCCTCGTACTCCGCCACGCCACCACCACCGCTACCGGCGGCCGCCGCGGACAGCATCAGCGTCATCAGCATCAGCATCAGCGGCGAGAGGCAGGAGACGAACGCCATCGCCGCAACTCGCCACCACCACCTGGTGACCGGGGACTGGGCAGTTCTTGACTTCTTCTTGGCTTCCTCCCAATCAAGAAGAGAGGTAGTGGAATTTGAGGAGCAGAAACCGATGGAACCTTGCAGATCGGAGAAGAACGGAGAAGACGAAAGATCTCGTGCTGATGATATCAGCAGCAGCAAGACAGTGACCAGCTGAAAATCTGATTGGAACTTGTCGCGAACGATGGGTAGCTCAGCAGCTCGGCAGGTGATGGGGTAGCTCGGCTCGTTGGATGAAACGAGCAAAGCAGATAAGTCCAGCGCGTGCTACACGTGCGCACAACACAGTGGCTGTAGCAGATGGGGAGCAAGCAGAGAGAGGTTCTGTACGCGGCCGGCGTCTCGCCACGGCACGCAGCGACGCGACTCACCTGATTCTTCAGCTAGAGCAAGACCCACTACTACTGACTCTAAATTATTTATAATCAATATAATAGCCAATTCATATAATAAGTAGTTGCTTACTATACTACTAATACATGGTCCCACTTATCATACACACATTACGTCTTGAATTCCGCGCTGCAGCTGGCTTCAGATCTGTAGCCCGCTGCTCTTCTCTCTCTTTCTTTATCTCTTTAAAATATGTTTATAGCTGGCTTATAGCCTGCTATTGTACTTTTTCTTAAAGAAAGGGACAATTGTTTATTTGACCATATTTTGAAACCAAACTATCGATCTGACCCTACTTTTTCTAGTTTACTTATTTAACTCTGTTTTTCAAAAATGAAAGCTCCGCCTGTCCCTGTTTTCACCGCACCGTTAAGTTTTCACTTAAAAAAAGAAAAGAAATTTAATTACTTCTCGTAATGACCAAAATACCCTTGAAGAAACCATATCCACATCCAAACCCTGTCCATACAGATCAGATCACACTCTTATCCCGTCTCTCTCTCGGCTTGTGCTGGCGGCAGTGGCGGCTCGTGCACAGAGGGGATTAGCGGCGTGTGGCGGTGGTGGCGGCGTCGGTGCGGTGAGGGGAGGGAGCGCCAGCGCCGGCTCATGGGGGGAGGAAGCGGCGGTGCTGGTACGCTAGGGGAAGGGAGCGGAGGCGCGGTAAGGGGAGGGAGCGGCGGCGCCGGCGTGCGGCGGTGGCAGCGGCGTTGACTCGCAGGGGGAGGAGCGGCGGCACCGGCGCGGTGAGGGGAGGGGTCAGAGGCGCGGTGAGGGGAGGGAGTGGCGGCGCTGGTTCGTGGGGGGAGGAAGCGGCGGCGCCGGCGTGCTGAGGGGAGGGAGCGGAGGTGCTGGCGTGCGGCGGTGGCGGCGGCGCCGGTTGACAGGGAGAGGAACGGTGGCGTCGGTTCGCCGAGGGAGCAGGGGTGACGGCGGTGGCAACGCCGACGCACGAGAGGATGATATAGCGGCGTCGGCTGGTGGAGGGAGCACCAGCGGCAGCGGTAGGCCGTGGAGGAAGGGGATCTGCGGGCGCCGACTTGCGGGTAGATCTGCGGTTCACTTCAATTTGTCAAAAACCTATCAAATTGAATCCAAATCTGTCAAACTTGTCTTGAATGTGAAACATATGTCAAATTTATTACAAATTTGTCAACATATCCGAATATATACATGTTCTTACATAATAGGGCCAAATAAGCAAGATATAATATGGACAAATAAGCAAGGGTAAAAGGGACTATTTACCCCAAACTTAACATTGCTAACTTAACGGAATAGGTCAGATAGTAGGTTCGTTTTAGAAAAGTAGGGTCAAATAAGTAAACTAGAAAAAGTAAGGTCATATTGGTAGTTGAACTTTAAATTAGGGTCAGATGCAAATGCCCCTTAAAGAAACCGAAAATGAGATACTCCATACGACCTAAAAATATAAGCTAGTCCAGATTAGCTAAAAAATTAATATATTTTTGGATAGAGATAGTATATGTGATTCATGTCGTGATGAGTCTGCGTCTGTTAGCTGTGTTTACATTGTACTGGTCGGACAGTAATTGAATGACACCATCGTACGAATAGCACATCGTACGTATAGCAGGGTTCGAAAAAAATAGCTCAAATGTGATCCGGTATAAAATGATCTTGGTCAATTTTTAGGGAGAAGTGCTACTTTTATGTTTCCATGACATATACTTCTCCCTTCAGTACTAATATTATTGGCATTTTGGAGATAGAACACTACTTCTACTTTTTTTTTTATGTTTTAGTCTCCTTCTATTTATCAAGGATCTACTTACCCCTGCGTGTATGCATCCCATATTCTCATTACCCTAGATTGCTTCGTTTCTACCATCCAGCGCGTTTCATTTCCTACGCACGTGAAAGAAAAAACATTGGCAATACTCGAACTCGGCATGCACAACCACCTAGGATATAACAACTTGTTGATTCTAGGAGGTGTTAGACCTCTAATAATTCTACTAGATCACAAGTTGAGAAGAGAGTACAGTGATCTAGGAGGCGTGTTCGACCTTTAATAATTCTCCTTTTTTTATTTTATGTTGTACTTGTACCATATCAGTAGCAAACCCATGGTGAAACATGCATATGTTTCACGCTATCGCAAATTTTCAATGTACAAGATCAAAACTGAAGCACATCCCAATTAAGATTTGACACCGTTAACTTTTTTTTTATAATGCTATATCTTCACGAATCACTGTAGGAAACCAAATCTAGATTGGAGAGGATATTATCACATGATGCGTGCCTTGATCGTGTTTTGCTGGACACGATCGTCTCACGCACGCGAGGACGCGCTCACTGTCGCCGTGTGTCAGGCAACACTGCCGGTGCCGACCACATCATATGCTCTACACACAGAATGAGCTAGATCACAGTCGTCTACGACATCACGAATCTGCGAGATGCTAACTTGAGCTCTAGCGTGCCGATTGGAGCCTATTTGGACTTCATCTCAAATTCCCCGTGCATCCTATTCTCAGGGCATCGCATTGTCGAATCGCCGAGACAAACATTTTGTTCTTTCTCACCGCTGCTTTTCCACGTACAGAGAAAGATGAACGATGGCCAGGGTTTATATCTACTAGTGCTATAGTAGTTCTTTAAAGAGGGGTAGGTGCCGCTAGTTTATTTATAGGCACTTGATGATGAGGTACACTAGCTAGCACTTTCACAATGACACACCAACTAGATGAGAGGCTCTGAACGATATCATTGGCAAGACAAGGAGTTGAACTTGGATAAGCATGTTTTCAAATTTATCCACAAAACTTATTTTTGTTTAGGACAGAGGGGATAGCCGATAATTAATTGGAAGTTTGGAACTGACAAACCATGGACAACTCGCGAAGACAAAGAGGTACGAAGACAGATGTGTACATTTGTGCACAACATAGTGGCTGTACTGCATCTAGCCACGGTCCATGACATGCAGCGACATGGCTCACCCTTTCACAATAATTGAAAAAAAAATGAAAACGATGAATCATGTGAAAATAGATGAAACACACACAAAATCCACACAAAAAAGCATTGCATTCTGAGAAGGATCAAAATTCAGGGAAGAAATGCTAATATATAATGACTCCAATTGGTACAGTGTACCGTACTAGAATTACACATAGAGTTTCACAATATCTTCTGCTCACCCGTTCATCTGGATTCACGTTCTTCTCAATTTTTTTTTATAGAACACCGGGGGGGGGGGGGGGAAGACCCCACCTGAATTGGATTAAAACAAAGTAAGAGAAATACAAAGAACTGTACATAGCCAGAGGCCAAACCAAAAGGAGAAACAAAAGGAAACAAAAGTGCTAAGGAACAGGAATTAGAGAAGCGCTAGAGAAGAATTAAACAGCGAAAGCCAAAGTGGCAGGACAGCTTTGTGCAGGGGTTTAAAGCGATGAGCCCAGAGCTGAGCATCCTAGATACAACTTCTAATGAGCCGAGCCATGGAGGGGGGCTGGTTCTGGAAGACGACCTCGTTTCGATGATTCCACAGGCGCCAGCAACGGAGGATGAAGAAGGTATTGCTCTGCAGGGCCGGAATGGGACCCACCATGGTGTTGGTGTGAAGCAGATCCATAGAAGTTATCGAGGGTGCTACCTGGATCATATCCCAAAAGGCTGAGACCAGGGGACAGTTGAGAAAGAGGTGGTCTGTATCTTCTGGGCAGCTCTTGCAAAGTTCACAGGTTGGCGAGGAGAGAATTGTTTTTTTGTGAAGGTTGACTCGTGTCGGCAGTCTATTCATTGCTAGAAGCCATCCAAAGAATTTGACTCTTGGAGGAGCCGAGCTTGTCCAGATGTAGGTCCAGTGTGGCCAAACCTGGAAATTTTCCATCATCTTCTGGTATAAGGCTAAAGAAGAAATCAAATTGTTCTTGTGTTTTAGACTACACTCAATCTTGTCTTCGCACAAAGTTAGTGAGGTGTGTTGAAGTAAGGAATGGAGCTGAATTAGCTGTTCTTGGGCCGCCGAAGACTGACGAGGAACAAAAGTCAGGTTTTGGTTTAGACCACTTTGGATAGCCTCGTTCTTCTCAATTTGGCAAGCAAAAGATTGAACTTTGCAGGTTGGAGAAGAACAGAGAAGATAAATCTCGTCTCGATGATATCCCCATTCATCCGGATTCACGTTCTTCTCAATTTGGCGAGCAAAAGATTGAACTTTGCAGGTCAAAGAAGAATGGAGAAGATAAATCTCGTCTTGATGATATCACCAACAAGACAATGACTACGGCGCAACTATTTTATTTGATTGGATTAGAAACAGGGTTAGCAATTTCGTTTTGCACATTTCTAATGGGACTTTCGGAACAGAAATATTTAAAATTTAAATAAATTTTGATGAGTTTGAATAAAATTTTAACCAAATTCATAGAAAGTAGACTGATTCTAAAATTTCCTAATTCAAGCCCTGATCGGGGGTGGAAGCTATGGGTAGCTCACGTGGAGAGAGAGAGAGAGAGAGAGAGAGAGAGAGGGGTGATTCAGCTCTTTGGATGAACCGAGAAGCTGATAAATCCAGAGCGTGGTACACGTGCGCTCAGCATAGTGGCTGTAGCAGTCTGGCAGATGAGGAGGCTCTGTGAGTGCCATTGGTTACCCTAATAAGTCAAAACCAAAATCAAAATTTGAATTTTCAAATTTTATTTTAGATTTGACTTCAAAATATTTTCAATGAATTTTTTTGCAGCGTTGACATTTAAATCGCTAAGAACACCTATAAATTTATTTTCATTTTCTAATAAACCGCTGTGACTTATTAGTAAATATGGATAACCGATGAGGACATGTACTTCTATACAGGTCCAAGTCTCGTAACGGCATTTCAGATTTGCAGTGACGCGGCTCACCCATTCAGAAGTCATTTTTTTTACTATTC